GATGATACAAAGAATTTTAAAAATCAACATTCAACTGAAACCAACTGAAGTTTCTTGCTGGGATTAATGGACAGTCAATTAGAAAAGAGCCATGGAAGATTATTTTCACATATGATAACTGCTGTGAGACTATTATATGAGCAAAAATGGAAAGACTCTGAAATACCCACAATGGAGGAATGGTTGATGAAGACAACAGAACTAGCAGAGATGACAAAATTAACTTGTTTGATTAGAGGAAGATCAACAACCACATTCATCAGTGACTGGAAACCCTTTATGGACTTTTTGCTGAAAAAAGAGGAGAATGAACTTGTGACTTATGGGTTTGGAGATTAGAAAGGGTAGCTTATGGAAAGAAGGGAATTATGATATAGCCTAGGGAGAGAGGGTAAAATAGCCCCTGGTAACTAACACCAATATCTAAAGTGAAGATAGCAAACAGAACTGTCCCCAAACCAGAAACAAGCAACCGAAAAAGGCTATAAAATAAAAGACAACTATAAAAATAAAACTAATTATAAAAAAACCTTAACAATACAAGAATGATTTATGGTTAGAATAATTGAAGTAAATTAATTCCTCCAAACAAGGGGCCATCTGGAAATGTGTTGAACTGAATTCAGATTGAAAGGGTACAGGAGCTGATACTGAGCAAAATTTGGGAGCTGAAGTATGGCTTAATTTGAAGATGGGGGGTTGCTGACAAGGTTTTGCTCTTCAGTGGGTTCAGAAGTATACATATGTGAGAAAGCTTATGGCATGTTTGTATGATTTATGAAAAAATGTGTGATAAAGTAGGCTCAAATTGCAGAATGTTTTGTTCAAGTATGGAGTTGAAGGTTGTTTGCTGAATGTGGAAAGAGCAGTTATGAAACTAAGAAAACACATCAAAATAATTGGAGCGCTTGCCGAATGCTTCAACAGGGAATAACGGAGTAAGACAAGGATGTGTAATGTCTCCAGGAATATACAGCTATGTATAAGAGCATACATCCGTCCATCTTGTTATATGGAAGTGAAAGTTAGATGGAGATGAAGTGAAAGATGCATTACTTAAAAAGTATATAAACAAAACAAAAAATCAGTCCCTCTCTCTCAGTCCAATCCACCTCACAGAATTGTTGTGGGGAAAATAGGAGTCATTAGATACTGTATCTATGCTGCCTTGAGCTGACCAAAAATAAAGGTGGATAAAAATCACATACATACATACCTACAGATAAGGTCAAGAATGAATGGGTGCTGAATGAATGTGGAATGAATATGAAAGTGAGTGACCAGTATGAAAGAAGTGAGTTGAAATGGTTTTGATCCTATGCAAAGAATGAGTGAGCTTCAAATCACAAAACAAATATAGGAAAGAAGAGGGCATGGGTTGAAAGAAAGGGGAAGACCGAGCAAGTAGCAGTTGGATGTTCATGAGATCCTGAAAAAATACAGTAGTGAGAAATTTAAAGAACAAAAGACACCGTATTAAGTGGTATATGGACATAGCAGAAGTCAGAATGGGTTGCAAGGAGAGGAAGATAAAGACAGTTGGAAGTAAACTAGATGTTGGAAGTAAACTAGATGTTGTTCCAACGCTAGGTGTTGGAAGTAAACTAGATTTTAGTCTGCTAATTTACTTTTCTATTTCTTTGTCTACTTCCTGCCTTAATTGCTTTGGCATCCTTTTTCTTACCCGCCCCCCCTTCGGCACTCTGCATTATTATGCCTCCCCCATGTCGGGAATGTATGTACAGTAAGTATATCTGCCAAAGATTCTTTTAGCTGGAAATGCTGGGATCTCGGCCAGCCCTGCCATTAGTAGGAGGGATGTGGCTGGCTCAGGTGATGGATGCTGGGGAAAAGTGGAGGCAGCAGTCCTCCCTCCTCCTGTTTTACTCTCTGAAGCCAAAACCACAGCAGTGATTATGTTTACATGTCGCTGGACTGAACATCCACTAATCCAGATGGCGCTATTGGAAGAGCCCCCTGCTGGAGCAATCAGGCAGGGCCAGGACCTACACAGATGATTCAAAAGCTAAAGACTCCCTTGGGTCAATCTCTTGGCAACTACATGAACACGTCCTTATAATTTTCTTGGAAGCCACAAGGAAGTTGTTTTCCATTTCCTTCTTCCTACCTTTTTTCAACAGTCTAATCTGATAGCCCTGAGATTGTCTGATGGGCTTCCATGCAAGTGCTAACAATGTCCTGCCCTGCTTAGATGAGTTTCCAAAATCAACTGGAATCATACAAATCCACACCCAACTTCAAACGCCTTTTTGAAGCGCTATTGCCCAGGTAGCAACTGCATGTTTTCATGGTACTAATTTTGCCACCCCTGGCTTCCATTTCTGCCTTGCAGATCTTGCTAGTCAAAATATGTGTCCTGCTGCCCAGTTGACCCCTTAGCTCCTTTCTGCAACCATATAACCTCCTGGTCACCAATTGATCTGCCTTCCATCTGTTTTCCACCATGCAGAAATCAACTTACTTCTTCTTTTAGCCACTCGTATTCTTTAATCTCCCTGCGGCTGATCTTGTCAATGTGCTTAACAGCATTCTGGGGAAATAATTCAAATACACTAAAACCAAATTTGTAATCTTTACATTGAAGGAAACAAGAGACAAAAGTTTAGACAGGATGCCACAGATACATATCAGAAATGTCACACAACTCCAAGTCATCCTTATGTTTTTCTACGACCATTAATTTTTCAGAAGATCCTCTTAGCAGCTTATGACATGGTATATAAAAGTGTTACTTTAAATAATGTTCCAGAATAAAATATCTATACTATCCAGAGTTATTAAACAACAGCTCCTACTGAAAAGTTTGAAGGAATATAGTACAACCTTTTCCAGCTAACAAATTGTATTAAAAGACATAAGCGTTCATGAGTTGCATCCTTTTTACATGACTATTAATAAAATGTGTTAGTCAGAAATGGTACTACTAGATTCCTCCTGATTTTTGCCACCATAGACAAACACAACTCTCCTCCTACCAAGTGTACTTAAACTAAACACCACATGTGAAATAAGAGGAGGAAAGAATCACCAAAATCTTGCCAAATTTGCAAATGTCACAAAATTTCAGCAACATCACATATTGAATTTTGCACATTGGGGAGTTCTTCCAACATTTTGAAATTTATATGCAAGATTTCACGAGATGCAATAATGCCCAAACCCTGCAAAACTGAACAATCTTGTGCAATATGGTTGTTTATTTTTTGTAAAAAATGTTCATTTAATTTTGGAGATATGCCAATAGCATCTTGAGATGTTGCAGACACCCTGAACCCAATGGGTCCTACTGCTGATCCTTTGCTTAACAGTTTCAAGAGTGAGCAACTTTTCTGCATTATGCCAAGAGGCAAACACAGCTATGGGTTTGCTAAAGAAAGAAGTAGCAAAAGGAGAAAGGGGATGGAATTTAAAACCAAAAGAAAAAAAAAAGGACAGGATCTAAATTTGTATTTAATAATTAAACACTTGAATAAAGAGAATCCATATTCTGCCTCCAACAATGGCTCCTCAGAGATTCCCCAGTGGTCTGAAAGGCAGATAGAAAAGTCTTAAGAGATAGAACAGCTCCCTGATATATACCCCTTAGCCATCCTTGCCCAATTTTGGCTTAAAATTGAACATAAACCTTTCTAAATCAGCATCTCAGACCTTTTTGTTGACTTTCAGATGCCCAAGCAGGAGCATTCTAGTTTACACACAGTGCAGAAAAATAACAATATTAATATATTGTGTGACAGAATTTAAAAATTGAATATAATTAAAGATATAGACAAAATGTGTGAACTCAGTTATTATCATTTGGCTCAGCACTGTGTGTAAACCAGAATACTGCAACTTATTCTGTAAACCATGGCTTAACCTTGTGTATGAACCCACCAAATAACATCTCATTTGGGAGTTAAGATGACTACTAACCTGCATAAGCTTCTATTGTTCAAATACACCATCCTTTTTTACCTAGTTTCTCCCACCTGTTTTGAGATTTCAAGTCCCAGAATTCCTCAATGTGGCCAAATGCTCGCTGGGGCATTCTGGGAATTCTAGTGCATCAGGCAGCAGCTAACTTTGAAAACCCTGACAAGGAAATGCCCCTGAAAGTCTGGAATAGCAAAATCCAACATACCTCAGTGGCCCATTCTTTCTTTAGCTCCATTTGTCTCAAAGTATATTTGTCAATTTTTTCCTTTGTTTCTTCCAAAGAAATTCTAAAAAATTCTTAAATGGGGAATAGGGTGATGAGGAGACAGAACATACAGAAAAGAGATCTATGGTCAGGCCTTTTAAGCTGTCATCAGGAATGTTAATTATTCCAGAATTCAAGACAGCAACTCTGGTTCTCTCAAGTTTATGTCACTATATAATTCAATGTCACTTGAGAAATGATAGTACATTCTCTCCATAAAAATGAAGTTCAATTTTTTGCTCTTTTGGCTAATACACAAAGCTTTCTTCAACGAGTGGTTCCAGATGTTTTCTTTCTGCAGTTCCCAGAATTTCCCACCAGCATGGCCAAAGGAGTACAGGATCCTGAAACATCTGGAAGACACTACGCTGCTTCAGCTCTGTGGTTCCATCTGTCCTGAGTTTCTCCAACTTAAAATCTGGAGATAATTAGGAATGGGAACTTCTTGACTGCACACTTGACATTACACTCAGTTGGCCAAGGAGGATGAGAATCAAGCTGGACTTGACAGCAGCAAATTCAGGCTAGGGGATAGAAAGCCTTGTGAATGGCCCTTGTTTCAGTTTATCAGACTTAACCAGCATTGGCTCTGAATTAAAAGGACTTGGGAGCCACATAGCTTCCTGGGGCTGCTGGTTGCCTAGTTGTCCCATGGAAACTTGGAGGTCTTAAAATAAGGGATTGGAAAAGATCCTAAGGGCATAATATCCAATCCAGAATTTCAGTACAGTATATGGATTTCTCATCACCTACCACCCAAAGGCTGGCCACCTCTGATTTCCAGCAATACAGTTCCTTAACTGGATTGTTCCTTCTGACTGTATTTATTGAATGATCCCAGGCTGGGCTGAATTCATCTTTTCTCCAGCAGTTCCTGCTACACTGCTGCTTTCTCTAAGCGATTCACTTCTATCCTGAGATCCCTTCTGGCTCATGGCCACCTTGGTCCCAGAAGTTGGGATTTCTTTTCCTTGCGTATGTTTGGATTTATTTACACTGAAATGTAGCTGCATTTATGAGGACTATTTGCTCCTTTTGGAGACAACGAAAGGATCCCGCTGACGCTTTTTACAACTTGCATCTGCTTGAATCGTTTCAGGTCATCCATAAATCCGGCCACCCACAATTCACTCCCTCCTAACACTAATTTTGGGGGATTCTACCCTTTGTGCTTTGGCATTGAGAGAATATGAATTACCAACTCAAACAGCCAATTATCACTCTCTCTCGGTCCCACCTACTCCACTGGGTTGTTCTTGAGAGGAGAAAATTGAAAGAGGGTGTTTGATGAAAGTATGCCATCTTTTGCTCCTGGAGAAAAAAAGTGGATATAAATTTAAAAATACAAAAACTCTTTCCCCATTTCTGCAGTGTATAAATTAGGTACCAAGGCTATACAGTGTATCCAATTCTATTTGGAGGAGGTCCTTGGAATGAAAGAGAGGACAATCCCAGCAGCTGTTTGGAGCTCCTGAAAGCAGCCTCCTCTTCTCTACAGAGTCACATGGCAGCTGTGAGGAAGCTTTGCACAGCCTTGTTGGATACAATCGTGTGTGTGTGAGTATCCCCATACAATGCCTATCTTTGGATATGTAATTAGCTTGGGATGAACATTATAACCATCTACGCCTTCACTTCACTTCACTTCACTTCACTTCACTTCACTTCTGTCTGGAATTAAAGAGGATCAAAAGAAATGGAATGATGGTGGTGGTTTGAAACTAACTTTTTAGTAGGCCTCTAACAGACACTTACCTGTCATTTCTTCAAGATCTTCCTTCAACTTTTTAATATCCTGTTCCAAGAACTGAATCTGATTTGAATGTTCGGTACTTCCCACATTTTTGTAGGCCATCCAGTAGTCTATTTCAGCTTGTTTCTGCAGAAGTTTCTGTTCCACAAAATGTATCTGGAAGCGCATATCTAGTGCAAGGCAACGAGGCATTATTTTCAGTAGTTATATTATTAGTAACAGCTGTTGCTCCACAAAAGCTATTGATACATACAGGGACACCTATATTTGTACTGGACTTCAATGCACTGACTTTCCAAGCCAGTTAACATCATTGGCATCATGATGTCCTTCACAAATGTTGTGGTTTTATTTTTATTTTTACATTTATATCCTTCTTGTCCTTCAGGAGCTTAAGGTTCCTGCATGTTATTTAACCTGGTTGTGGAATCAGGCCATTTTGGGGGGCTTCAGCAACACCCTGAACCATAAGCTAACCAAATTAATATAGGGACAATGCAGCTGCTAAGTCTGATCTGGTCCCATATGTGACAGCCACGGAATCATTGAAACAGAGAAAGAATGCCACGTCAATTCAGTTTCTGATTTTAAAAACTTGCCATAATATAAGCAAGCTGAATCTTGGATGTTCAGCACTGGTTTAGCAACATTTGGAAGGCCACAGGTTTTCCACTTCTGGACAGGGAGGTTCTCACACATAAGTAGCTGAAATTTCAAATAGCCTGGGGCCTAGCCCCACATATCATATAAGGGTTAATTGGAGTAAGAGCAATGGCACCTCATTCAACAGACTAATTGGGGGGAAAGTCTTCCCTTATTATTGAATGCCTATTTCACTGGGGAGTATTTACCAGCATTGATTAGTGTCATTTGCTGTAATTTACTTCATTGGTGGTAAAGGCATCATTGCCCAAATGACGTTCGTCAGCGCAGAAAATTGGCCAATTTTGCCTATTGCCACCCAAAGACAATAGGTTTCACTGGCTTCAAGGTTTCACTGTGCAATGGCTGACAAGCGATCAGCATTGGTGTGACGTGAAAGGATGCGTCTGCTGCATCTTCCCGACACAACAGCGTCTCTCGTGGGCAAGACACGTGCAGCCCTGATCATTCTCGGAACTGCACTCTTAATGCGTTTGGAGAGCACTGAGTTCTTGGAAGCTTCCAGCATGCTTTTGCCCAGTTGCTGCAGAAAAGCCACCCATGAATATCCTGTGAAAAGGATTCCTTAAATGCCTCCAAAAATGATCCCCATTCCCAATCCAATGAGAACAACAGCTCACCTTTAATAAGTTTCTCCTGATCCTTAATATACTGCCATTTGTCCATCATCGCTCTCTCAACATCATCCCGGGTCACAATTTCTACTTTTTCAAGCTCCTTCTCCTGTTCTTTCAAAGTAGTGAGCAGGGCCCGGATGTGTCCAATCTGTTCTTGCTTGAGTTGCTGATTCTGGGAGAGGGGTGGCAGGAAAGAGAACGTGTACACTTGATTGTTTTGAAAAGAAAGAGCGATGCAACTTATCCAGCGTGTGGAGAAACAAAACAATTAAAAGTCAAAAGCTGTTTAGAACAACATTCACAATCCTCTGGTGATTCTGGTGGAAGTAATAGATCCCCTTGTGCTACATCCTACCCTTACTTGTAAAAACACTTGTGCACAGAGGAAGTGTAGTCAATAGGGACCACAGCTCATCTCCAGCCCTACACCAAATGACATGTGATCCCCCTCATTACTTCTGTACAGAGGAAGAACATGATATTTATTTATCTATTTATTTATTTATATAGCCGCCCATCTCACAAACATGTGACTCTGGGAGCATACAACACAACAACAATTAAAAACTCCATAACAATATAAAAACAATCAAAAATAAATAAAATAAACAGATAAAACCCAAGAAAGTGGGAGAACAAACATTACTTCATCTCATATAACCATGTTGCAGGTTCTCCCGGGGATTCCCAAGGCTGGTGAAAAAAACATGTTTTAAGGACCTTCTGGAAGGCTAACAGAGAGGGGACAAACCTCACTTCAGGAGGTTATGCATGGGAGATACATAGGATCAGTTCCTTGGATCTTGAAACCCAAAACTTGAACTGAGGTTGTGCTGTCCACTAAATTGTTGAACCACTGGAAAATTCCTGTCCTCACTCATGATCCCTAACCTGACAAAGACGTGATGCAGAAACTGTGCTATCTCAGTTATGTTGGACAGGGTCACTTAAGGATAGGATTGGTGGGTTCTTGGCAACCCTCCCCTCCCAGAAAATGTCACCATCTGGCATGAAAACATCTACCAATCGCTTTGCTTCATGTGGGAAGGCTTTGAGAGAAGGGCAAGATTTGACAAATAGCTAGATCAGTAGGTTTAGCCATCTTCAACATTTGCTCCCATTTTATCCAACTGTTTTGTACAGATGCATTCAGAGGAAGTCCAGATTTCAGCTGAGAACTCAGCTCTTTTCCGAAATGGAATTAGCACTTTTCTGGAACAGTCAGCTCCTTGTCTAGAAGAAGACTGACCACCAGATGTTGGGAAAGTTGCACCATGAAACAACAGAACAAAAGCTGGTTCTCTATCACCCATTTCATTATGTAGCCTGCTAGTTGCTATTCAGGTTGATCCAGCTGGGTAGCTACAGATTCTTCCATGGGCAAAAAATAGGATGGCCCCAGAAAGGGGTACCTTGTGATCAGAAGAGAGGAGGGGCGCCTGCACTAGTCTTGATAAGCCAATAGACACTGGTCCGATCCCACCTCCAGGAGACGCGACTACACCACCAATAGACTAGTTGGTGAAGTGCATGATATGGCAGCCACAGTAAAATTGGCCCAGCTTGTTGCCTACTTCAAGAGGAAAACATTAATTTAGTATCAGAAAAGCTAAGGAGGATTTAATGCTACCCCAGACACAGCATAGGAATGAAATGAGGGCAGCCTCATGAAGGTATAGCAGGATGAAGAGGTTGCTGGAGCATTTTTGTGTCATGCTAGGGGGCAAGTGGAGAAAGCCCCTTAGTCACTGCAGCAGTGTTTCTCAAACTTGGCAACTTGAAAATGTGTGGACTTCAACTCCCAGAAATCCCAAGTCAGCATGTTGGCTGGGGAATTCTGAGAATTGAAGTCCAAACGTCTTAAAAAGGCCAAGGTTGAGAAAAAGACTGCCATAGTGGTTTGCCATTGTCTTTTCTTGAGATTTTTTTTAACTCTCCTTTGAGCCACCATTCCTGAAATTCCCATGTGCTCCTCCATCTAACATGGATTGATCCTGTCTAGCTTCCAAGGTTAGCAAAGCTGCCACTGCTCCTTTCTTCTAAATATGCTTTTCCCCAATCTACCAATCTCCATTATGTTGGAAATGCACCTCTCAGAATTTCCAGAGATTCTGAAAATTGTAGACCCAAAGCCCCTGAGGACACCATCTCATGTGGGGAACAAAGGAGGAGGGAGCATTATGTACACTAATAAATAAAAGGATAAGTAAAGCAGGAGCAAGTATAAGGAAATGGAGTGGCCTTCTTACAATACCTGCCTGGGCGTCTCTTTGGGGAGCTGCATGAATTGTGCCGAAAGAACTCCTTAACTAATGGCCATTAGGGGCATTTCCTGGACTTTGAAGAAGCAAGGTAGAAAGAATATTGACACTTTTGAACTTTACTGTTGGAGAAGACTCTTGAGAATATCATGGACAGCCAAGAAAACAAGCCAATGGATCATCGAACAAATCAACCCAGATTTCTCACTCGAGGTACAAATGACCAGGCTCAAATTATCCTACTTTGGACACATTATGCGGACATCTAGCTCCCTGAAAAAGGCTGTAATGCTGGGAAAGGTGGAAGGAAAGAGAAGTAGCAGCAAGGTGGATAAACTCAGTTACAGTGGCAACGGGAGCACCATTAGAAGACCTGAAGGGCCAGGATAGGGCCAGATAGTCATGGAAAAAAATCTATCTATGTCGTTGCTAACAGGTGACACTGAGTTGATGGCACATGATCAAACAATAAATCAAACAAGGGAATTTCCAATCTCCCCACCCTCAAAAACCTGGAGCCACTGCTACTTCTCAGAAGCAATTACCAGACTTTTTAAAAGCAGGGATGTGAGGGACTGATCCACAATTCTTCTACATTACTAACAGGTGCTCTGCAACTAAGACAGGGTCCCCCCTGAACCTCAAGAAGGGTCATTTACTTGCTTACTCTTTGTTTGCATTTGTCATTCTCCAATTCTAGTTGCTTGATGTCACTGAGAAGCTGATCAATGACCTCTTCCTTAATTTGAATTCTGACGGGGTAATTGAAAGACAAAAATAAACTGTCATGCTTTCAAGGCCAGAAATCGCAAGCTCTCTTTACAAGGAAACATAGAATACAAATATAAGAACTAGGTTGAAAACATTTGAAAATTCTTTGCTTCTGGTTATATTTAAAAGAATACAGTGACATCTTGATTCAATGGACATTGGTGCAACAGGCAAAAATCCCAATTTTCTGGTCATTATACAACAATTTGCAACATTTGCATAATGCAAATGAAGTTAAATGACAAAAATGAGGTCATTTGCATTGCCACAGATGAAATATTCTCTGATTAAATGGACAATTGAGAGTAACAGATGCCCTGTCTTCCCAACTGGTCTATTAAGCCAGATTTCACTGCGATTAAAGCCAGGCAGTCAGAAACATGGAAAACATAATCTCATTTGCAAACCACTTTCTCCACCAATTGATTAATCTCCATGAGCTGGCAGCACACATTCAATGATGATTTAATCAAGCATTTAGCAGCTATTTTTACAGTCCTTCCCATTACTATATCCCAAAGAAGCTGAAGACTAGCAGTTCCTCCCCCATTTCTTGCTAGTTTTACTCCCCCTGCTGAATGGGAAAAATTAAAATAAAATAAATCTGCAATGGCCCCCAAAGTGGACACAATTGTGGGAAAGAACCAGTTTGTGCCCCCTTTTCACTCCTTCGTGGCAACTGAGATGTAGTTCCTAGCAAGGTCCTGTTTTGTGTGCGCTATCTAGGACTTAGTGTGATCATAGAGGAGAAAGGATTAGTTAACCCAGTGTTTCTCAACCTTAGGAACTTTAAGCTGTGTGGACTTCAACTCCCAGAATTCCCTAGCCAGCATGCTGGCTGGGGAATTCTGGGAGTTGAAGTCCACACAGCTTAAAATTGCTAAGGTTGAGAAACACTGAGTTAACCCAATGGTCAGCTGGGGATTTAATTTAAGCCAGTCAAGACTGGGGCTAAATCTAACCAGGTTCACGGTTAATAGGTTGGATCTCTTGGCTCAGCAAGGCAAAATACTGTAGAAGAGTTTTCAAACTTTTTCAGGCTGTAGAAACAGTTCGAAAAAAAAAATCCACAGAATCCCTGCAAAGCTCTAGAGAACACGGGCTGTGTTTGAGTGAACTTTCTTTCTCTGTCTTAGTCTCTTGTGGAAGTCCATCAAGTTCTTGTGAAACCTGTGGCTTTCCTGCTCTAGAATATATTTCCCAGGACATGGAGGCTCAGATAGGTTGATTTATTTGTAACAGAACTAAGAAGTCATTATGAAAAAATGCCAGTGACTGCTGTGTAGTAAGTGTAAGCTCTATTTATAACAATCAGTGTTTAAATTTTGTGCATTTTTTCTCCTGCCTGCTCTACGTAAAGGCTAGAAGCGATTTTGGATAGGAGATGCAGTTTCCATCTGTTCCATCACTGCGTGTGAACTACATTTCATAATTCCCCTTGCATGACTCTGTTAAGTGTTGCATATACAACGGCTCTTTAAATTTAAATATTTACTCTAGCTTCAAAGTCCTTTATTATCTCCATGAATATTCTGCTGATTTACAATTTGGCTTCCCTACAACTAGATTTTCCCTCCGTTCTATCGGTTGGAAAAACAGCCTTAGACTAAACTTTGCATAATAAACATGCTTTTGAGTTGTCATTCTTATTTTTGACTTGTTTGGCAGCTCCCCTTAAACTACTCCTGCTATGCATATAAATCTAACAGATAAATAATGTAAATACATCAATAAATAAACAGGGGAAGTTTCTCCAACAGCTCAAGGAAAGCTTAGCATGATCACTGGGCACAGAAATCTAATTGGGTATGGAAAAGTAAAATAACCCTGAAAATTGGTAGATGGGAGAAGAAAAAATGGAATGGAATATTCTGCAAGAGAGCATGGACAAACGGCAAGAACCATGAACTGGAACATGTCATTACAACTCTCACCCTAATAACCAATAACTGAAAAAAAGTACAGTGGTACCTCGGGTTACGAACTTAATCCGTTCCGTGACTCTGGTCGCAACCCG